GGGGACACTCCGTTCTCACCTGTGCCAGGGTTTTCATACGCCGCCCGCCAATACCCCCACTTTGTGGGGGGGCCGGTTCAAGCTCTACCACATTTCCAAACGACTCTTCGCCACCACCCACACCCAGCTTCCCGCCCTATGACGTTCGGACACTTCACCTCGTGGCATGCGGACGACCGTGGCTACTATTCAGGGCCCCGCGGCCGACGACGACGGCGTGCGCGCGCGAAGAAAAAACGAATGTGTCCCGCATGGTATTATTTGACCGGGATGATGGCCCTGGCAGGTGCGCAACCGTTGTTGCAGAAGTTCGAAAAAGTTGCTCGCAAAAGCCCGTTTGACAGAAATGTTTAAAAAGTGTTGGGTTTCCTACGAATCCGCAAGAGCGCGCGGGATGAGATTTTGACAATTTTTTGTTGAAAAACCATTGGTTTTTTGATGTTTTTATGTTAAAATCGATACGAAAACTAAGGTTTTGGAAGGATTTCGTCTTGCGCGCGCGAATGTCCACTTTACCTTATTTTTTGCAAGGGATTCTTGAAGTTTGGTTATGTTAGAACAAGAAATGTCCACGTTAGCTTATTTTTTGCAAGGGAAAACCGATCGTAACAACACAACCGGATCCGGACCAACCCGTTTTGCCTGAGACTTCCTCACGAAAATGATGAAAATGAGCAGCGGCCTTAGGCGCGGCGGGGGTCGTGCACCAGGGGTCCCAACAATAATTATTCTTTAGAAGTAATAATGTTCAACAACAACAACAACAACAACAACAACAACAACAACAACAACAACAACAACAACAACAGCAACAACAACAACAACAACAACAACGACAATAACAACGAAACAAAACAACCTGTTGGTGTGCCCGGACCGGGTCCACCAGCTTGCCGTTTCGCCCCACGTAGCGAAACACCCCACTGGTTTACCCGGACCCCCCCCCCTCCCCCACAACGCAACGCGGCTGCAGGAACAACCTCGGTTGCGGTGCGTTGCGTTGCGTTGCGTTGCGGGGGGGGGCTCACGTAATCCTACAAGGGCCCCTATTGCGGGCCTTGTAGGATCCCACTTGGACCCGACCAGGCCCCCTTGTAGGATCCCACAAGGGCCCGACTAGGGCCTCCCGCAGGGCCTTTTCGAGGGCCCGTCGTCGTCGTCGCGGTCGTGGTCGCGGCGGCGGCGGTCGTCGTCGTCGCCGTCGGCAAACCGACAGGCAGACAGACAAAGAAGCCGAGGAAGACGAGGACGACGAGGAAAGGGACGCACAGGAGCGCCACAACGGTTGCATCATCCTCCTCCTCCTCCTCCTCCTCCTCCTCTCCTCCCAAGAGGGAAAACAGTATCAAAAAGGACTGCAAAAGAACACACATCACAGACCCTCGAATCTCCTCCTCCTCCTCCCCCTCAGCCTCCTCCTCCTCCTCCTGCTACACTCCCACCCCCCCACTTTAGCTCAATTGCCTCCCCCCCCCATCCCCCCACACTTTTTTCGGGGAGGGTCCTGCGCGGGGCGCCCCCAACACAAGCGCCACAAATCCGCGCGCAGCGCAGCCTCAACCGAAGCCAAAAAACGCTGGGCACACCCAAAAATCACAAGAGCACCGCAACTGTTGCGCGCACTGGCTCGCCCTGAAATCAACGCGACCGCGGGTGGCCAGATGAGCAATCGCGGAAAGAGCCCGAAAGAAATCATTCATTTTAGAAAAGTGGCATTCTTACCACAAGCCAGCGGCAAATATTTCGTCGCACCGGGGACGCAATCTATTCCGCCAGCGGGCGTACCCGCCAGCACACGACAAATTGGGCGCGCACTTGACTTCATCGGAAGAGCCCAACCTTCTACACTACGACTGCTGCACACTACCGCGGGGGACCTCCTCCGTCAAGTGTGACAGTTTTACGTCATGCCTGGGACGGCGATGCACATGCATATGCCGATGCCGATGCTGATGCCGATGTCATTGTCATCGACATCGTCGTCGTCCTCCTCACCCTCCTCCTCCTCATGTTCCTCCTCCTCCTCGTTCTCATCGTGCTCCTTCTCCTCCTCCTCCTCCTCCTCCTCCTCCTCCTCCTTGCTCCTCCTCCTCCTTGCTCCTCCTCCTCCTTCTCCTCCTCCTCCTCCTCCTCCTCCTCCTCCTCCTCCTCCTCCTCCTCTTCCTCCTCCTCCTCCCCCTGGGGGAGGTACGAGGAGGGGGCGTCGCAGAGCGAAGCGTTGCGCACCGCGGGGAAGGGCGTTGCCCCGGTAGCCACGACCCTCAAGGGATAGCCACCACGGCCAGGAATATAGAGGCAGAGCGGTCTGAGGAGCTGCGCTGCACTCACACGCTGCTCGTCTCGGGCGCCGCTGCAGTCGAACATACACCACGACACCAAGGTGCTCGGTCCACAGCGGGTTGCAGAGGAAGCGACCGTGCGCCCGCAATGGCTGTCATCATCACTGTTCCATGTCTCCCCCCTTTTTTCCTGCGACTCGGCGATCCGCGCCCACAAGAAAACAGGCGACCTCTGGACAGCAGAAGCTTATCGAGATGCCGACTGCGTGGTTTGCCCCGGTAGCCACGACCCTCAAGGGATAGCCACCACGGCCAGGAATATGGAGGCAGAGCGGTCTGAGGAGCTGCGCTGCACTCACACGCTGCTCGTCTCGGGCGCCGCTGCAGTCGAACATACACCACAGCATCAAGGTGCTCGGTCCACAGCGGGTTGCAGAGGAAGCGACCGTGCGCCCGCAATGGCTGTCATCATCACTGTTCCATGTCTGCCCCCATTTTTCCTGCGACTCGGCAATCCGCGCCCACAAGAAAACAGGCGACCTCTGGACAGCACAAACTAATCGAGATGCCGACGCCATGGTTTGCCCCGGTAGCCACGATCCTCCAGGCATAGCCACCACGGCCAGGAATATGGAGGCAGAGCGGTCTGAGGAGCTGCGCTGCACTCACACGCTGCTCGTCTCGGGCGCCACTGCACTCGAACATACACCACAACATCAAGGTGCTCGGTCCACAGCGGGTTGCAGAGGAAGCGACCGTGCACCCGCATTGGTTGTCATCACCACTGTTCCATGTCTCTCCGCTTTTTTCCTGCGGTTGCGCGCATGCGCTTTCCGAGGAGTGGAACGCGCTCGGCGACAGGACGTCGCATGTCTGGGCACCGTTCCGGGGGGGGGCCTGAGACGACGCGAGCGGGGCGCGGGCCAGAGCTGCCGATGGGGAGAGAGCGGGGCGGGCCCCGGGGCGCCTGCAGCCGCGGCGAAGAAGGCGTCCCCGGAGAGCCTTGCTGGGGCGGCGGGGGGGGCGGCCACGACGGGGTCACGCTGGAGGCGACGTCGCGACGTCTCGGGAAGTGTTGGGCTGCTGCTGCTTTTTCTTTCTGCGTCTCGTTCCTCCTCCTCCTCCTCCCCGCTTTCCTCCTCCCCTCATCCTCCTCCTCCTCCTCCTCCTCCTCACTCCTCCCCTCTCCTCCTCCTCCTCCTCCTCCCTCCTCCTCCTCCCCTCCTCCTCCTCCTCCCTCCTCCTCCTCCTCCTCCTCCTCCTCCTCCTCCTCCTCCTCCTCCTCCTCCTCCTCCTCCTCCTCCTCCTCCTCCTCCTCCTCCTCCTCCGGGGCCCATCGTCCCTAGGTACGACGGTTTTCTGCGGCCCCCAACCCCCTCAATGGGGAGAGATGGGGGGAGCCCACCGCATCGCATCGCATCGCAACCCCTTCTGGTACATATCCTCGGGAATCTTGAAGAATGCCTGAACTCGAGAAACCTGCGGACGCCTTGAGAGAATCCTGGGGAACGCTGAGAATTCTTGAAGATCTGAAAGAAACAATAGGAATTCAAAATAAAGTGTGATCCTTAAGGAAACCCTCAAAAGTCCCTCAGGAGTCCTTGGGAGTCCAAAGGAATGCGCACGACGCTCCAAAAATCTTGGGAACGTTGCGGAAACCCTCAGGAACTATGAAAAATAAGAGTCGTCCTGAAGTTGGCAAATCCCTTGGAATCATCCTCGGGAATCCGGAGGACTCCTCGGGAACCCTGAAATCCTGGAGCATTATGAGGGAAGCCTTTGGATTCGTTGGGGGTCCTGGGGGATCCTAAAATTCCCACGAATCATCGCGATTCCTATATAATGAATCCTTGGGAACGCTCAATGATCCTGGAGAATCCGGATCCGCTCTCAAATGCCAAGGAATCCTCCAGGACCCGCGGGATTCCTAAGGAATCCTCGGAGTATCTGAGGAGCCCTAGGAAATCCTTGGGAATCATTGGGATATTTACAAATCCGCCGGGTCCATTCGAAATCATTTGAGATCATTGTCAATCCTCGGAGTTCCTTAGCAGCACAGAGGAATCCTTTGGAATTCCCCAGGAGTCCTGAGGAATTCTCTGAATCTTCACGAATCCTACCCTGCGCAACCCTCAGGATCCTGAGGAACCCTGGGGAATCCTGAAGGAACCCTCTGCGATCCTGAAGAACCCTGGGGAAGCCTGAGTAACCCTCGGAGATGCTAAGGAACTCTCGAGAATCTTTACACTGATTCGGTGTCCTGGTGAATCCGTGAGGACTCCTGCGACATCTCCGAGAATCCTGGAGACGAGACGAGACGAGACGCGCGTGTCCGCCGGCAGGCGGCTCCCTTAGGAGCGGCGCGGGCGGGCCGGGGCCCGTTCAAATGTTCGCGTGCGCAAGGTAATCCTTCTCCCAATTGTTCCACCATGTCCAGTCTCCAGCAACATCCAACCACGACGTGGTATTGTTCCCAGTGGTAGCTCGTACAAATTATGATATTTCGTCGCACCACCTCTTTCGCTGTCCTCCGTGTCTGCGTATCGCTGGTCTGGCGTCGTGGATATCGGGCTCCCGCGCCGCAGCATGTCTGGTCCATCTGAGGCGGGATTGCGCTGCGACTCGCCCTGCCCATAGCCATTTGCGCTTGAGGTAGAGGGTCGTCCAGTCGTCCACATTGAAGCGCGTCGCTAGATCTGTATCTGCGCGGGTAGCTCTGGGAACGAAATCCGCCCACGGTTCTGCGTCGGAGTCGTCTTCGACGACGTCGCGGTGAGCTTGTGCTGTAGCTGACTACCTACCAGACCACCCCAACCCAACCCGAAGACCCGAATTTCGGGTTGGGGGGGGTATGGGCTCCATATGTGTTTTTTCGATGTTCCTGGACCCCCCCCCACTAGAAATCGAGGGTAAATCTGAGCCTTCGGGTTGGGTTGGGGTGGTTTGGTGGGCGGTGAGTAGCGTCGCTGGTGCTCGTGACGTCGCTCGAGCTCGTGCTGTCGTCGTGCTGGCCCAGAGCGGGGTTGGCGTCGCTGCCGGTGTCGGTGCCGCGTGCTGCCGCCGCCCTCCGCCTGGTTGTGTTCACGAGGAGTCGCAGCATGCGTCGTTGGGTGCCCTCCTCCTCCTCCTCCTCCTCCTCCTCCTCCTCCTCCTCCTCCTCCTCCTCCTCCTCCTCCTCCTCCTCCTCCTCCTCCCTCCTCCCTCCTCCTCCTCCTCCTCCTCCTCCTCCTCCTCCTCCTCCTCCCCCCTCCCCACCGCGCCCGTAGGCGTGCACCGCCCCCCCCCCCTCCCCTCCCGATGGCTCCCGATGGAGGAGGAGGAGGAGGAGGTGCGTCGTTGGGGCATCTCTGTGGTGAGGGTCCACGCGGCGCAGCCGTACGACACGCTTGGCGTCGCCGTGCCACTGAATAGCCGGAGTCTGCTGTGCCAGGGGAATCCTGGAGAATCCATTCGAATCCCGAGGAATGCCAGGGGATCCTCTAGAACCCCGTGGAATCCTGAAGGGATCCTGCGGAATCGCGGGAAATCAGTTATCCTCCGGGACCCTCTGGGATTCTGACGCCTCCCCAGGCTGCCGACGGAAATCCCCAAGAATCCTGAGGAATGGAATCCTCGGGGATCTTCCGGAATCCTCAAGAATACTTGGGAAACCTGCGAAACCCGAAAGAATGCTAGGGAATCCTTGCGAACCCTCGGGAATCAGAAGGAATTCGGAGGAATCCGTTTTGGAATACTGAAGAATCCTCGAAAACCTATGGAATACTTGGGAATCCTCAGGGATCCTCCAGAGCCTCTCTCAAGGCCCCCCCCCGATGCGGTACTCTGAAACATGTCGTTTTCAGTCGCTCTCACCGACAACAAGCGCACCCACCCTCCCAACTGATGCACATACCCTCCCATCCCCTCCGCCATCCCTAGCCGAGCAGCATCAGTGGCACTATCCAGACACTCTTTCCTCCTTGCCATATTCACATGTTTCCTTGACTCCCTCCAGCTGACTGTTCCTGCTTGCTCGGTCCATACATTCCAATTCTCCCACGCCTCTCATATCTCTCTTCTCTATTCCACCCCCCTCCCCTATGTTCCTGCTTTCTCCTCCCAACTCACCGTTTCGCCTGCATCTTCCCTCATTGTTCCCCCCTCTTATCGGCATCCCATCTCCGCACCGCCCGCCTCTCGTGATTTCCAAGTCCCCCCTCCTCCTCTGTCTTCTTCATCACCCCCTCCCCCCTCCTTTTTTGCCTGCCCGCTTCCTCCCCCGTCCATCCTTCCCTCCCTCCTTCCCCTCCCCCATCCCGACCTCGACCCCAGTCGCCGCCGCCCAACCCCCTCAGGGGAAGGACGGGCAGAATAAAGAGGAAGTGGAAGTGAGAAGCGACTGGGTTGATGACCCGTCGGAGTCCGCGAACACCACCTGAAGTGAAACAGAAGAGAGGCATAGGGCAGCGGAGAAGGCAACGTTCGGGAAAGGGTGAGGCGGTTCAGGAAAGACGCATCCTGTAAAACCCGTGGCCTACCAGAGGCCCATCAAGAGGAAGGAGAAGGGGATGGTAGACTATGCGAACTCCAAGAGAGTGGCGAACCCACCCAGGGATGAGTGCGAGGAGCATGGCTCACCCTCTCAAAGAAAAACAAAGGACGCACGGGAGTGCGGCTGGCCCGTCTGGAAAGCATCGTTGTTAGGATGCATGCCCCTCATGACGTTGTTGAAATTTGCGCGCCCATGGCGGGACAGCTGACGTGAGCAGCACTCCCTGGCACAAGTACGCGCCACAGGCCAACCAAAGACAGAAGTCAGCACCGCCCGAGCCGAGGAACAAAGATGACGTCGCGGCCAAGTCGCAACGTCCGAGCACGTCATCGACCGCCAGAGCAGGGAACGGACACCATCCAAGCCTGGAAGGTGTGGCCCGAACACGGCTTTGGGACACGCCGAGCACCTCCACAAATGCTGGCGCCACTGCCACTGGTGCTGAGCCACGGAGCCACCCACAGCGGGCGCTCGCCAGCTGCGCCCGCCGGGGATCGAGTCCCTCCAGGTGGAGACACGGCCAACAAGGGGAGGAGCCTGGCCGCTAGCCTACACACCGGGCGCGAGGTCATTGACAGCCCATCGAACCGTTCGTGCTCCGCCGCAGACTCAGGAGGATGCGGCAGGGTACCTTGTTGGGCGGTGCTGTGGGCGAAAGCGTTCTCGCCGCGCCGGAACACCTCCGACTGC